CAGAAAGTTAGAGTATCCACATTTTATTACTTACAGAACATTACCTCAAAATATGAACCACCTCAGGGACCCAAACTCTCTGCCATCACCAGGCTCATATAAACCTTAATATAATCCGTTCCCTGGAAGAAAATATTAACACCTGTTAAAATCCCCTGCACAGAGAACATTTCCCTGGGAGGTGTTCCTGCACTCATTGTGCCAATTTCCAGATGAATAAAACTAAGGTTTCTTTTTGCTTCTTCCCAAAATATAATCTATTATGTAACATTTACAACTTGAAAAGGAATCCGAGACTATTTTCATGAATAATAATTAGAAGAGTAATGTGCCTGACGTGGGCTACAAAGAAAGGCCCCCCTTTTCTCTGCTGGGCGCACAGGACAGTGGGGTTTACTCTGGAACCAGTCATGTGGAGCTTGGTCCACTCCCCTAGATGCTCCCAGGGCCCCTGGGGTTGCTCTGCTGTTTAGAAGGAAATGGATATTGAAGCTGTATTGTGGCTTTCTTGCTTTACAGTGATACTTGCAAATACTACCCCTAGGGTAGTAGTTAATGGATTTGTTACTTAGTCTGGGAAGGTGAAGAGAAAATTCCAAAGCTTTGGGTGGTGGTGGGGGAGGAGCAGTACTCAGAGCCAGTGCCTGTGTGGGTGCTGACTGGCTCTGCCACTTACCTCTGGGACTTTGAAATACCAAGAGTCATCACCTATGGTGGGTGGTAGCGGTAGGAGTGGCCCTTTAAATTGTTCTCCAGACAAACGTAGGAGAGGAGCAGACCGGGAGGGCCCCTGGTAGGCCAAGGTGAGCCTGGTTTCAAAATTCTACAGCTAAGGCTGGTCACAGCTCAACTCACTACTCGTCAGAGCTACTGGTCAGTTCCTCCAAACCCTGAGATCAGCTCTCCTGGGCGAAGGCACCACTAGGGTTCTGTGTAGACACACCCAGGACCTCACGAAAGCTAGCTGTGGGCAGCAGAGGTGACAGGAAGTTGGCCACAGCCAGTCCAGCAAGAGTGAGACCAGTGCAATGAGAGCAGAATTTGGACTCTTGACAGATCTGGGTTCAAGTTCTAGTTATGCCACTCTGGTTCTTCCGAACACCCCAGCTAGTCACCACCACCAGGACTGGGCACAGGAAGGCAGTTACAGACACTGTTAGCGGAACCCGGAGGCGGGGATTCTAAGGCTCTTGGGCTTTATAATTAACTATTTCTCTTTGAGTACTCCTTACTATCTTATTTGCAATTCTGGTATGTCTTAAGAAAAAGATTGTGAACTATTCTACAATCAGAACTTAATTCCCTTTCAGTACGGTGGATTTCCCTGGGCTCTGGGCTGGGGAATAGGGTGGCTGGCAGAGGTGAGGCTGTGGAACTGGAGAGAAGGTGTGGAAAAGAGCAATGGGCAGTGTTCAGGCTGGGGCCGTGGTGTAGAGGTTGGGGAGGGGGGAAGTGTTTATGGCCCCCTTCCCTTGCCTTCTCCAAGCCATATCTTTATTACTTTTGTTTGCTTTATTGATATTTCAAAATTTTAAAGTCCTTCTTTGTCCCAGGGTTTTTATTGTCCGAGTGACCCACCTGGTTTGCCTTGGCTTTTGCAGAGATGAAACACTTCCTGTTTTGTTTTCAGAAGTAAAGCTCTCACTGCATTTCCACAGTGAATCCTGCAGCTGCATCCATCCCAAACACAGGGGCCTTGAGTGCAGGCAGCAGGGCCCACCTGCGGATGCTGGGCCTGGCCTGGACCACATGACTGCTCAGCAGTTGAGTCCTGCTGGGTCCTCCCCACCATTGAGGGTCCCTGATGCTGAGAGCTGTGGTGGAGGAGGCCTCTCAGGCAGAATCTGCCCACAACCTCTGCCCTGTTGGAGGGTACAGGGCTGGGACTCATCTGCTCAGGGACTGCCCAACAGCTGGAGACGGGCAGGGACTGTGGAGGGCCAGTGGGCCTTTGGGAATTGTGGTTCTGGGAGTCCCCAGCCTTAGGCTCAATGTAGCCCAGGTCTGGTGTTTTCAAGCTTGTCTCCAGCTGGAGATAATGCTAATATCCCACACTTGCAGCTTTTTCAGGGCACTTGAAGATTGAGACTTTCTCTTCAAATAACAATGAGCATTTGTTCTGAGCCTTTGTGATAAGAAAGGAGAAAGAAAATCATTCTTAGAGGCAGGGGAAGAAGAAAACCATCTCAACAAAAGGCACAAACTTCTCATTATACATTATTATGCTTTCAAAGAAGCATTTTGTGCAAGCACATTCTTTGGTTTAAAATAAAGTGGCTCTTAAGTCTTAAGACTATCTCGGCCGTGTCTTGTTTGGGGAGGAAAAATCTGATGGGGGGAAGCTGGTTGATGAGCTCTCTTGTCCTGGGGCCCAGCCTGGCAAGCTGCTCCCCTGATGTGCAGCGTGATGCTGAGTTTTGCCACAAGCTGTCTTTTGCGGGGAGTGTGGTAGGACAATCCATTATAAGGGGGGATCCCTACTGATTTAGTAATTACCCCTCACCCCTAAGTGAGAAAGCCGGGACAGATGCCCTGTACCCTGTACCAAAATCCTTACAGAATGTGATGTTATAGTGAGTTTCTCGGTATCCTTTGAACAATGCAAATACTTCTTCCATGAGGCGGCTGCAAAGTTAGAATTGCAGGACTCCAAAGATAAATTTCATTGATTCCCTTCCCTTTTTATTAATTAAAAAAGAAAAAAACAAAAACCCAAACCCAAAACTTAAACCTCTTAGGAGCAGTATTTAAGATATAAAGACAAAAGAAGCAGGGACTGCCTATATTCTGCAAGTCTAGAGGCTTAGTGAAGAGTCAACACTTATTTAGAGAAAGTGTGTCTGAATGGAGCTCCGGAGGTCCTGGCTGTACTGAGTTAGCAGAACCTATGAAGAGGTAAAGAGGTGAGTCTGTGAATTGGGCAGCCGCTGAGCTGGGCGGTTAAATGAACAGGCTCTGGACTATTCTGATCTCAGCAACCCATTCCCCTGGATGACCCTGAGCAAGTTACAGACCCTCTCCAGGCCTCATAGGAAAAATGGAGCTAAGAATAGTAACTCCCCGAGGGGCAGCTATGTACATAAAGCAAACTAGCCCAGGGCCGGCCTGCGGGGACCGCTGGTTACCCCCGTTATTATGAGGGGCCTGCAGCTGTACCAGTATATAGAAGAGACTTTGCTATCTGCTATCTGTACTATCTCTTTTCCCTTCTCGTCTTCACTTTCCTCTGCTGCTTCTTCCCTGCCTTTCTACCCCCAGTCTTGGCACTTCCCTCTCTCCCAGATCTGAAGCGTCAGTGGGAGAGGCCTGCTTCTGGGGAGACGAGGGGCCCCTCTGGGCAGCCTTGCGGGGATGTGCCAGGGTCTGGTCCTCTCTGCAGCTGCTTCCAGGCTGAGCCTCCACTGACCGAGGCCAGCCAGTCCTCAGTCTCCCCCTTTCCCACTCCACACCTCCTGGTGCTGTTCCTACTCTACCCGATAATAAGCTTAGGTCAAAACTGACTCCACTCTCTTCTCGTTGTATAAACTGAGCCTGTTGGTTTCCCTCTCCCAGATTCCCAGTTCTCCACACTGAGTCCCTTCCTGCTCCCATCTAGTCTTCCTTATCACTCACTCTGCAGACCTGGCCCTGCTCCTAACTCCTCCTCAGGCAGTCTCCCTGGCCTCTGGCCTCAGCCACCTTGCCCCTCCCTTCCATTTCTATCCTTTCACATCAGCAGAAGTTGTATCTCTCTCTACTGGAACTCTGTGACATTGTCTAATATCTCTTCCTTAAAAAAAAGCATCCTTTGTGTCATTCATCCTGCAAAAGAAAATCATATCCACAGAAAAGAAAGTCATTTCAGTGGCAGCTTGTTTGCAAAGACCCACACAAACCTCTTGAATCATACAGAAGGTCCTCATCATGACCTTTACACCACTCCACTCCCCCCTGCCCAACTCGGGGGCCTCCCACCTCCCATTCCACAGTTTCCCCATCAGACCTCAGTCTCCAGATCCCCCTTCCCCAACGTGGCGAACTGAAAGCTTAGTTCTATGCTCAGATAAGCTGGTCTGGGAGAGCACGGACCCGGTCATCTTTCATGAGCACGTTAGATTTCTGCCTAGTACAAGACATTGAGAGCACTTAGATACTTGGGAAGAAGCAGAAAGGTTAGATTCAGTTGTGTCTTACAGTTGTGATGACCTTTGATTTATCCCTTGTTTTAAAATGGTTTTGGTCGGGCTTCCCTGGTGGCGCAGTGGTTGAGAGTCCCCCTGCCAATGCAGGGGACGCGGGGTCGTGCCCCGGTCTGGGAGGATCCCACGTGCCGCGGAGCGGCTGGGCCCGTGAGCCATGGCCACTGAGCCTGCGCGTCCGGAGTCTGTGCTCCGCAACGGGAGAGGCCACAGCAGTGAGAGGCCCGCATTCAGCAAAAAAAAAAAAAAAAAAGGTTTTGGTCAACCAAACCATTAAGGACTTACCCTATCAAGCCCTTAATATTCTCTCAAAATTGAGGTAGGTCTAATTATTTGCTTTGTTCAGCCGAGGGACACGTGTGTGTGTGTTTGTGTGTGTGTCTGTGTTTGGTGGTTGGGTGTGCTTTCTCTTTGTACTAAAACTCTCTCCCTCGCAGCCACATGACAGATGATGACTGCTTTTTGTGCTGCCTAATACATTGCTGTCCACTCAGTGAATACTGTTACCTGACTTCCATTCCAACCCTGGGGGAATCTGGATTCACAGAGGAATAGAACCTTCTTACAAAATCTGGAGTATGATTGCAATTTTACTTTTGAAGCACCCGCTTCCCAAAGGAATAGCTAGTGATTGATGCCACTGTCAGAAACCCAGATGCACACACTCATACATCAGCCAGGAAATTACATTAACAGCTCGCCCAGCAGGCCAGCACTGACTCACCCACTTGCTCCCCTATGGGAGGAGAGGTGATACGAAACCCGGGGCAACAGCAGGGAACAAACAAAGGAAAGGAGTTAGGGGGGATTGGGCTCTCAAATGTCCACCGGGTTTTTTTCCTTTCTCATCTTCTGCCAAGGGCAGCAGCCACAGGCTAAGGTCTGTAGTTATTTTGCTATGTGACCAGGATTGTGGGGAGTTATTTCATTTGTCCTGGAAATGCACTGTCAGCTTGTTCTCATGGTGCATGTACGAGGGTGCATACAGCTCTACACACATACCTTCGTGCTTAAGAGGTCTACATTTTCCTTTGGGGTAGAAGTGACCTACCTAGGCTAAGCTCATGCTAGGGTATTTGTCTTTTTGGAGAGCAAGTTAGTGTTGATTCCAGCAGGATGGGGCAGCAGAGACTGGTTTGTTGCTCAGAAGATGCCTGAAAAATACTGATACCATTAGGGCAGAAGAGTGGAAAGCAGTCCAGCAGGCCTGCTGGCGACTTGTGAGTGTGAGGGAGTTCATCGGTAGCGGCAGGCCAAAGCGTTGACATTCTTGACCACATAAAAGCCCATGGTGACTGGAGGGATGACCAATGTCCGGCCGGCCCGCAGGGGGCGGGGCTTCAGTTCCGGGAGGGTCCCATCGTCCACCATCACTAAGGGCTGCCCGTTCAGCTGCACTGACCTACAGTGAGGAAAAACAGCATGGGACTCGTTATTGCCTTGAAAGGAAGCCATCGCAGCAAAGCCTGGGCAGCCTCAGATTGCCCCCGTCTGCTGACCGTGCCCGGCTGGCTATCACTGACTGATACTTACTCTGCCCAGGCTCTCAGCTGGGTGCTTTGATAACACACTCGAACATCCCAGCAATGCTCTGAGGAAGAAATTGTCCTTGTCCCATTCTTCCTAGAGTACTTAGATGACTTGCCCAAGGCTATACAGCTTGTAGTCCTGGGAGCCAGGATTTGAACACAGGTAGTCTAGTTCCAGAGACACATCATTTATTTTGACAAGTTAAATGTCTCTGAGGCAGAAGCTGAAAAGTGTCTCATGTCTATTTTTTTTTCTTTAAATCATAATAGCAGTTCAGTTTGACTCTTCTATCTAAAGAATTTTCTTCTACCTAAAGTGTGGAATGATGCATAGGCTTAAGGTGACTTCAGAAATTTCTATTTAACTGGCATCTTTCATTAGTTTATTTGAGAGATGAGAGAACTGACATTGTGTCACTTGTCTAGGGCAGTTCTGGAGGAGGACAGAGACTTATGTAACAATCTTCCTTTCTCTAATCTGAGCATGAGTTTCCATATCTAATATTTAATGAATGTTTACATTTTAGAGACACAAAGGAGTAGGTGATAAAGCAGGCACTTGTGATCTCAGTTCACCTGCGTTGCTTGCTTTTATCCTTCCTGTGTATCAGTCATTTTCAGCCCTGAGAAAGACTTAGAGAGCAAAGGGGAACGGCTCATCACCCAGCCTAGGCCTGTGGTACAGAATCCAGACAGTCTCCCAGCTGTTTCTGACGGGGGAGTGACTCAGACAGCCAAGTACCCACTGAAGCTCAGTTTTATGGGTCAGTAGAAAAGGCCAGAACCAGGCCACTAGCTGGAAATAAGGCTGTAAGTCACTTTGGAAAATCAGCATTACAGTGATTGACTATTTCTGGGCCTTGCCCAGCCTCCAGTGTGATAACATTGCAGTGGTATCATCTGAGCTGCGAAGAGAATAAACTGTTAGAAATTGATAAAGAGGTCTTGGTTTAGTGTTCCTTCTGTGCTATGAACGATAGGTTTAGAGAGAGATCATCAGACCCCTTGCTCAGTAGAGCCATGAACCCCCAGAGATAAGTGCAATGTAAATTGCTCCCAGGGGAGAGCTGGGCAGAGAGACAGCTCCAGGCCCGGCCCGACGTGGACCAGTTTGGGCCCAGTCCAGATCTGACAGGCCAGGGGGCAGCCCCCCTCTCTTGTTGGTATGACTGAGGAATGAATGAACAAGCAGGGGGCTCCTGGGTGGAGAGCCAGGCCTGCCTCTGGAAGATGTGGAGGTGTGAGAATTGAGATCTAAAGGTCAGTGTTGACCTCATCAAACATGCAAGAACCTTCTGCGACCCTCTCTGGTGAATACAGCATACTCATTGGAGTGGAGGGCAGGGTGAGGAGAGGGGGTTCAGGTGCAAAAAAAGCCAGGACAGGTCTTCACAGTGTATTTTATTATTTGGTTCTAGGTGGTGTGAATATCCAACAGCCAGACATATGCACTATCAAATACTAGTTCAATAATACTAATTAATCTTTCCAAAGCATACTCAAATTGCTATCACTTGAAAACCTTCAGTGGTCCCTCCTATATATGGAGTTAGGTGCAAGCCCTCCCCCTGAGGAGTTAGGCAACACCCTCTTAGATTCAGATGATCCCAGAGTATTGCCATCTCTGGGTTCTAGGAAGTCAAAACAAAGTGTGAGAAGCAAGCCTTTTCATTTCCATACTAATAACGAGTAGTTATTCTGCAACAGACTCCATTCTGATTTCCTTATTGGTTGGTTAAAAAGCTGACTCAGGTATGGTTGGAACCAGGGAGCATGATCAAGATTGTGGACTGAGCTCTAATTCCAGGAGCCAGCCACTAACTTCCTAGACAGCGCTGGCAAGTCTCTTTACCTCACTTCCCTCAGTTTTGCATCTGTGAGAATACAGGCTATATAGGATGTAGTACGAATGAAATGAAATAAAAAATGTGAAAGTGCTTTGAAAGCATAGTGAGCCATGTAAGTGGAAGATGGTGTTTTTTGTTGTTACTCTTTTCATTGTCATTCTGGGTAGGTAAACTTCTTGGTCCTTGTACTGTGGCACTGACGAGTTTCATGGCTCCTTTCCTAAAACCCTCTCTTCCCTTGGCTTCCGTGGTAGTGTTCTCTCTCTCTCTCTCTCTCTCTCTCTCTTTCCCTCCGTTTTCCGCCTTCATTTCTGCATGTTGTTTCCTTTTGGGGGCACTGTTCCCTTATATCTGCCTCTCAGATGCTGGGGTTGCTGGTGCTTGGTCCTGGGACCTCTTTGCTTCCCACACTACATACTCCAGGTGGGTGCTGTTACCAACACCCAGGAGTTTAATTACTATCTGCATGTCGATGCTTCCCAAACCTGTATCTCAAGGCTGAACCCTTCTTCTAACTTATATATCTCCACTTGGCTGTTCCACAGGAACTTTATAGTCACGTGTCCAAAGTCAAGCTCTTCTCCTCAAACTCTGTCCTTTTCTCTGCCTTTTTACCTTTGGGCTGGTAGCACCATCTGTAAGATTACCTAAGCCAGAAAGCTGCGGTCATCTGGGTCTCTTCTCCCTCAGGTCCCAGACATGGAGTCGCTAAATCCAACCAATTCTACCTTAAATATTTTTCAGACCTGCTTCCTTCTCTCCCTTCACTGCTATTATTTTAGTTCAGAGTTCGCCCTGTGACCTATCTCCTTGCCCCTGGCCTTGCCTACCTCTCCTGTGCTGGCCACATTGCTGATTCTCACAGTCACTCACTAGATAGCTTACCCCAACTGGACATGTGGCCATTGATCATTGATAGTGTTTTTTCATCCTTAAAAAAATCTATATGACCACCTCTTAGCTAAGCCAATTTGAGTTAATTTTGTGAGAACTTAAGTCCTCATACAACCTTATTTACAAAGTCCCGTCACTGTAACGATGGACAGTGTGCTTTACCACCTCCATTCTAATTTTCCTGCTTACATTTTTATTTTAATATTTATCCTGTTACCCAGTTAAGTCATATCACACTAAATATTACAATTATCTTCCACTCTTATGCACTGAACAACTTGTAAGTTTGCAAACATATGTTAATGATAAAAATCACTGATTACTGAGCACTGTCTATGCAAAAGGCAGGATTCTGTGATCTATTCTATCACATCTAGTCCTCACAACTACCAACTGAGGCAGGTGTTAGCATCCCTACAGATGAAGACATCAAAGTTTAGAAGGGTCTAAGAGTCACCTAAGTCACATAGCTGGTAAGTGGTAGAGCTGAGATTTGCCCTGCAGCCCTTCACCATAGTCCTATTTGGCCTCCCTTGTGGCTGCTAAAAGAGCCCTGTGAGGCACATAGGCAAGTATTATTATTATTATTTTTGTAACTTCACCATTGAGATGAGGTCAGAGAGGTTAGGTGGCCTGGGCAAGGTCACACAGCTAATAGGTGGCTAAGCTCTGTCTTGGATTCAGGCCTCCTGATACCTGTTTCTACTATTTCGTGTTGTTCCCCAATTCCAGATGGCACTCACTAGGATCATGTTTCTTTCTTTGAGAACCTTTCTTATCATATTTTCATCACATTCTGGGACCTCCTTCCTGGCCTGTGAAGTTTCAAACCAAATGCTAAATGATCCAGTCTATGTTGAGCTATTTCTCTTAATTCCCTAGCTGCTGAGGGCTTTTAAATTATCCAAATATTAGGACAACTGAGTTTTTATCACCATCTGTTTTTCCAAAGTCGGAATTGCTTTGTTCCTAAACTTGTTTTCTTTGCATGCTATTTGAAATGGGATCCAGTGTCTCAATTTGGAGTCAAGCCCTCTGCTTCCCAGGTCTCCGTGGGATCCCCTTGGCTGGGTCACCCTCCTTCCCCCACCACCTGTCTACAATCTCTGGTCTTCATGGCTTATTTTATGGTTCTTGCTAGCCATGGATACTGAAGCAAGCTTTCAGCTGTTCTGAGGTCTCAGGGAAGCAAGTCTAGTGAGCATGTTCTTTGCCGGTCTTGAAGATAATTTGCTGGTCTCTGGCCTGGCCCTGGCTGGACTTCTGTGGGAGCAGAGGCAAGGGAAGCCTGCGTGTTATCGGGAGCAGCCTGGGGAGCTAGTGTCTGGTTTCTGCTGGCATATTTAGGGCCTTGAATGGGACTTAGAGATAACTAGTTCCACCTCAGCCACTTTGAGAAAGTGATTTGCCTTCTGTGAGCTTGGGTTTCACCATCTGTATGACAGACTAGATGAACCCTAAGATTCTTTCTGGCTCCCACATTTTTTAGGTTGGCTGCCCACAGCCTAATAGCTAGCCTGAAGCAGAGTTTAATGCCAAATTCAGAGTGATCCTGCACAGATAGAAATCTGATCATGACACTCACCTGTCTAAATGCTCAGCAGCTTCCTGCTG